TTAAGATGAAAAATATTAAAGATGCTGCTATAAGCGACACAACACGAGTGACACACACACACACACACACACACACACACACACACACGGCCAAGTTTTGGGACGGAGCGGTACTTCGCGACCCTGCTTACCCTCAGTTAAGGCTACTGCGTGTAGACCTTCAGAGCAGAAACACCGCTTCGTCCGGCATTCATGCGACGCGAGTCTGATCTGAACATGTAGTAAACAATGACAAATGGGCAGCACGCATGCGATGATGAGGAGTGAGGAGCGAGGAACAGTTATGAGGAGGCAAAGCCAAGCCACAAAAGGCGTGATCACAATGGACGAAATTATGACCACCATGCGCGGTCCGTTTCTGAATCGTAAAGTCAACAATCTCACAACGTGACGCGCGTAACTTCGTGCTCCGGTTCCACCATAGGCGTCGAGTGGTTCGGTCAATCCTTCGTCACGTTATTAGCGAGTACAGTGACGTAAACGATGTGTCACGCATACCACCGTCACTTTAAACCGAACCGAGGCTGCAGGCGGCAACACGGTTTCGAGATGACGTCACAAGACAAACTCAACTCATTGAACAACAATCGCACTGCGTGCCTCTTACGAGGCAGTCAGTGCCTCTACCTGGCCAACTGGACTCGCCTGCCTCGACTCATCATTAATACCGTGTTCGGTTTCGCCGGGGCCAGTGATGACGTTGCACCGGCGACTCGCGAACGCCAGCTTCGCCAAGTCCTGAGGCGTTACCAGCGTGACGGACGAGTCGCACGGAAGCCGATGCATTAAATAGCGGTGTTGACCTACCGCAGGTATCGCGCTCACCAACTTCTTACCAGTTTGTTGGCGAAACCATAAGACGGCTCGAAAAAGGGCGCTAAACCATCACCAACATCGAAGCTAGGCGAGGCGAGGCGAGGCGAAGCGAGGCGTGCGCCCCCAGCCAACGACGGTTTCGGCCCCCACGCATTCGCTTTACGCTGCCGTCCGCAACAGGACAAGATGTTGTCAGCGTCATGCCATGCCTCACCCGTGGTTTTGTCGCTTGACCTCTTCGGGTGGCGCTTGGCAGGCAGGCGACCGAATGGCGGGTGGCAACTAACAGCACGTCATACCGACAGCTGTGACATTGCCTGCAGTTTTCAACCGAGCCGAGGCACGATCGGCCGTGTCACATCACACATCACGGCATCACGCAACCTTTCATAAAGACCAGTTCATTGTGCTATCGGGCAGTGGGTGTGAACCGGCTCTTCGACCGAGACCCATTGCTTGTCACGCACAAAACGCTGCATAGTCCTAAGTGCATTGCTGTTCACATTACTACGCCTTCATATATCAAACACTGGACGCTACTCAGTTCAACCATCAACTCCACTGAGGTCAACGGCGTTCCTTCCCTAGTCCATCCCCTAAGTCGAATTCCGTGTACGTACACGCTCGCTGCAGTCAAGTAACCGAAGGTACTTAAAATCACGATCATGGATGCCTCCGTGCATTCTGCCAATCGATCAGCATACTATCCTCTGCTGTTACGTAGAACGAAGTCGTTTCGATGAGCAAATCTTTGCGGTGACAAAATCAATAAATTACGTAACAGCAACCATCAAACCGAATCAAGTTAACCATTGGCTTGAATCAACTCACCTTTCGGGGGGAAGTCCGGCGCCCTGGACTCCATTCCTGTTCGACCGGTATCATTGATTTGGATCGTGGTCATACGAGGGACATACCGAATACAACACAACGCGTCTAATCTAATGTTGCCCTGATCAGTGTGGAACAATAGTTTGCCACTGCTTGACGTTTTCTCATTGGTCGAATTCAACCAGTTTGCTTCGAATGACCACTGCCCATTCTTGCTGACCGCCATTCGGCGTCGCTGTATTTACCTTAGCACCAGCCATATGAGACTGTAATGTCGCTGTCCTTTGAACGATTGTCATTTCGGCCTCGGCCCATGACGGAGCCGATATAAAATTTTTCTATCATAACCAGCAATGCCGATCGTTTCGCTTTGAACTAGGCAAATATGTTTGAAGCTGATTTAGATTCTGCACCATGCACCTTATGAGGTAAGTGATGCTCTAGTTAATAATTTTCAGCGCCAGCCTAAGATCGATGTTAAAATATCATTACTGTTTATTTTGCTTTGAGGACATTTTAGCATCGACCTTAATCTTGTACCTCAGACCATTACATCCGAACATCGCCAGCCAAGAGACAGGCATTGTTTCGCTTTCGACCACAGAAGGCCTATTAGTCCGTCATCTATCGTTTGCCACAACTAGTGACAACCAAGTAAAATCATCGACTCTGCCAACAGCTCTAGACCAAGACCTCATATCGTGACAACAATAAAATTATCTTCAGCAGGTTGCTCACTCAAGCACTTCTGCCACAACGATCGCCAAGCCTACATTTCATCCAGTATACTAAATGAATATTCCGTTATTTATTCGTTAATCAAGGTCACAGACTTAATTAGTTAAACTGAACAGTTTTCGGCAATTTAAACTTGAAGTCTGAACTTCAGCATTGAGTATCGATGCTTCGCTGACCGTTTTACTATTGCAGAAGAGCTTGCGAAACGGAACATAAGTGCGACAAATTTACCACCATAACGGTCCATAATTTACCGAAATTTGCGTACCACCTAAGTTTTGACCGAATTGAATGTAGGAAGGTTTTACCTGCTAAAACATCTGAAGCCCGCTGCATCTGTTCGGCCAGTCACATGAGTAGAGGAAGCGCTTTATCTTGAAGATCACGCTGCTTGCTTCACACGGTCGTTCGTCCGGTTTAATCAACAATAACAAGTTCAGCGATGACCAGTTGTTCTTAAACGACAGCGTTCCGCTGCCGATCACTTTGGAAGTAAGCAACAGCGAATCTCGTCTCCTGAAGTTTCGATTCTTGCTTGAACTCAACATCAACCCTGAATGGACCACGCAAATGATCGAGTTCAAACTGTGTAGTGGACGCGGCAGCGGCGCACTGGATCGTTTTAGCTTTGTGCTTTTGAACTAGCTGGTTTGAGTCTCAAATTGTTGCATGAAATTTACTCGATCATACCTCTCATCAGTCAAAGAATAGTAACTCGCTGACCCACGAACAATAGGAGCAACGTAGTTTGCTGTTATCATACCAGAGTCTGTCAGACTTAACGATCATGCCGTCTTAAGCGTAGGCCCTCCTGCTGCAACTCGCCTTGACTCGCCCTACTGACTGATTGACATCTCTTCGCAGATGACTAGGATCATCACTGGCTGGGCCGGGTATCAAGATTCAGATTTGTCTCTCGGGCGGTTTGTCCCCGCATGCGCCCATGTTTCCATTTCAGCTCAGTGTGTCATTTGCACCGAGGTCGTGCAACTGAGCGCTTGCAGCTCCTAGGGTAATAATCCGTTACAGCTGAAATCCATCAATCAATTCATGTCATGTTGCGTGACTATTTTCTCTTCTTCCTTTTCAGACTGTTGCAATCTCTTCCATTTCTATCCGTCATTTTATTTCGACATTCCGCAGCCTGCGTTTGATGTAGCTTCTGGCATCCTTCTTTCCATAACTCTCTGCGCTCTCAATAGTTTCTCGACCTTCTTCCTCAGTAGCTAGGTATCGCAACCGTACATAATTGCTGACAATTCTGTATTTTAATACGTTACGGTTATTGTCAACTAGCGAGTGTAAAAGAGGTACTAAAGGTGCCGCAAGACGAACAGTGTACACTTTTGTATTCCGAAGGTGCAATCTTGGAACCAGTCTCGCTTTAGTTGGTGCCAGGTTATGTAAATAGACGTTGATGCAACGTCCGGTGTATGTGCGTTTGTTATACACATGATGTTTAGAGATTCGTTGCTTCTGTACTCAAGCACATCATCTAAAAGTGGGAGTTTGTTTTCCCCATCCTCCAGTTCGTGGGTGATCTGAATGTTTTTGTGGATGGACTTCAGATGTTCACGAAACACGTTCAGTCGTTCTATCCAATGCGGCCACAGAACTCATGTATCGTTCACGTACCTGTGCCATGCCATGGACTCGGTTTTGATGACCCCAGTGCCATTTCTTCTAACTGCTCTATGTAGATCGCTAAAACGATGGTGGATATTTGTGATTCCGC